ACACACACAGTGAGACACACACACACAGTGAGACAGAGTGACACACACACACAGTGACACACACTGTGACGCACAGTGACACACACAGAGTGAAAGACAGTGACACACACACAGTGAGACACACACACAGTGAGACACACACGCAGTGAGACACACAGTGAGACACACAGTGACACACACACACACAGTGAGACACACACACACAGTGAGAGACAGAGTCACACACACACACACACACACACAGTGAGTGCTGTGAGCAGTGCTGTGTGTGAGTAGGTGCTGTGTGTGTGTGAGCAGTGCTGTGTGTGTGTGTGAGCAGTGCTGTGTGTGTGAGTGGTGCTGTGTGTGTGTGTGTGAGCAGTGCTGTGTGTGTGTGAGCAGTGCTGTGTGTGTGTGAGCAGTGCTGTGTGTGTGTGAGCAGTGCTGTGTGAGTGGTGCTGTGTGTGTGTGAGCAGTGCTGTGTGTGTGTGTGAGCAGTGCTGTGTGTGTGTGTGTGTGTGAGCGGTGCTGTGTGTGTGTGTGTGTGAGTGGTGCTGTGTGTGTGTGAGCACACAATTATTCACATCTTCTCTTCCGTTGGTATCTTGTCAGTTGCTCACAGAAAAGACATCCATAAAGTAGAAAACACTACACATTACAGCTTGGTGCGCAGTGCTGTATACTTTATGAATGTCCCATCTGCATATCTCCATCTCCTTCAGTCGGGCTCAGTCGCTGTGTGTGTGTGTCAGTCGGGCTCAGTCGCTGTGTGTGTGTGTGTGTGTGTCAGTCCGGCTCAGTCGCTGTATGTGTGTGTGTGTGTGCGTGTGTGTCAGTCTGTGCTCAGTCGCTGTGTGTGTGTGTGTGTGTCAGTCTGGCTCAGTCGCTGTGTGTGTGTGTGTGTGTCAGTCCGGCTCAGTCGCTGTGTGTGTGTGTGTGTGTGTGTGTGTCAGTCCGGCTCAGTCGGTGTGTGTGTGTGTGTAATAATCTCTTCAAAAAAATAACAATGAATAATTTGGTCGCTTGAACCCCGCGGCTGTTTGTGGGGACGTCGCTGGGCGCGATCGGCTGCCGCGTTTGGCCCCCGAAACACACACGGTCACTACACCCGACGGGCGTGTCCCGTGAAGCGCTTTGAGACGTCTCGACGACGTGATCGATATTAACGATATTGTTAATACTTAATGCAGAAATTGTCGAGCTCCCCACGAGGGGGAAAATAGTTTCACAGACTTGCGTTAGCCTCGTGTAGAAAAATAGCGAGTAACGGAGAGAGAGAGAAAGTGTGAGAGAGAGAGAGACGGAGTGTGAGATGGAGAGAGAGCGACTGAGAGAACGTGGCAGAGATAGAGAGGGAGAGACTCAGAGGCAGTTGGAGAGAGGGAGCGAGACAGGGACCGAAAGAGAGCGAGAGAGACACAGAAGTAGATAGAGAGAACGAAACACAGAGTGATAGAGTGAGAAAGAAAGAGACACACAGAGAGAGGGAGACAGAGTGAGAGTGAGAGAGTGAGAGAAAGAGAGACACACACACACACAGTGGGAGTGTGAGAGAAGGAGAGAGAAAGAGAGACACACAGACTTGGATAGTTCGGAGAGAGCGATGAATGGACAGAAAGTAAAAATTTGTTTCGACAAAAGTTTAACTCACTTTAAACGCCGTTTAAATATCTATTTCCTGGGGGTGGAATTACAGAGAGAGAGAACGAGAAAAAGTCTCGAGGGAAGACAGAGAGAGAGAGAGAGCAACTGAGAGAGAGACAGAGAGAGAGAGAGAGAGAGACACCGAGAGAGAGGGTGAGAGAGAGAGAGAAAATAAGGGAAGTAGAAAGAGGAAGATAAGAAACAGAATGACGGAGAAAAATCCGAGGAAGGAAGTGAGACAGAAAGAGGGAGAGAGGGGGAGAGAGGTGGAGAGAAAGAGACCGAGAGAGAGACTGAGAGAGAGATACACACACATACACACACATACACAGAACGAGACAGAGAGAGGGAAAGAGGGAGATTGATACGGAGAGGGGGAGAGACAGTGAGAGAGACTGAGAGAGACCGAGAGAAAGAGACCGAGAGAGACCGAGAGAAAGAGAGAGACTGAGAAAGAGAGCGCGCGAGAGACTGAGGCAGAGATACTGAGAGACCGAGAGAGAGCGCAAGAGAGATAGCACGAGGGAGAGAGGCAGAACGGAGGGAGAGAGGGAGAGTGGAGCGTGTTGAGATCCTGCAGTTGTTGAGAGACGAAGAGAGAGAAAGTTCCGCTTTTGAGCGTCGGTTATAAAGATATTTGTCACGTGTTCTGTCAACCACAGAGACAGCGTCACTCCCTCTCTCTCTGATCACGGTGACAGGTTTCCGTGTGTGCGTCAGACCACGACTGAGCCCGACTGACACACACACACACACACACACACAGAGTCGACTGAGCCCGACTGACACACACACAGCGACTGAGCCCGACTGACACACACACACACAGCGACTGAGCCCGACTGACACACACACACACACACAGACAGCGACTGAGCCCGACTGACACACACACACACACACACGACTGAGCCCGACTGACACACACACACACGACACCCACACCACACAAGCCTGAGCCCGACTGACACACACACCACCGATAACTGAACACACACACACAGCCCCTGAGTCAGGCTGACACACACATATGTAAGGGAGAGAGCGACAGGTCTGTTTATTAAGGCTTATTTCTGTTTTTAAACAAAGGACACAGTTGTTCTGTTTCAGAAGCGGTTTATTTCCCTCCCCCAGTATGGAAATCATTCAAAAAGCAAACATGTTCATGCAAAACACCCCCAGGTCAGGGTTAGAGACACAGTAAAGCTCCTCTATACTGTGTGTCCACACTCCCAGGTCAGGGTTAGAGACACAGTAAAGCTCGCATGCACGCTCCTCTGCACTGTGCGTCCACACTCCCAGGTCAGGGTTAGAGACACAGTAAAGCTCCTCTACACTGTGCGTCCCCACTCCCAGGTCAGGGTTACAGACAGACAAAGACACGGACAGATTGTGGGTGAATAATTGTGATTTTATTTCAGGTTTAAACTCTCGAGAGCAAAAAATAAGTTTTCAGCGCATCAAAAACCACAAGAAAAAACCAGGGATATGAGAGAGAGAGAATGAGAGGGAGACTGAGAGAGAGATGAGATACAGAAAGAGAAAGGGAGAGAGATTTAGTGAGAGAGAAGAGATATTGAGAGAGAAAGAGAATTGAAGAGAAAGAGATTGAGAGAAAGGAGAGAGGTGAGAGAGAGAGAGAGAAGAGCGATTGAGAGAGAGAGAGCGAGAAAAAGAGAGACCGAGGAGAGAGAGACAGAAAGAGACTGGGGAGTGGGAGGGGAGAGAGAGAGAGAGAGAGAGATAGACTGAAAGAGACTGAGAGACAGAAAGAGACTGAGAGGGAGAGAGAAAGAGCGAGAGAAAGAATAAGAGAGAGAGAAAGAGAGAGAGAGATCAGTAACAACATCAGGAATCTAAACACACACAAAGTCTCCAAACCACGTCAGGTTTGAAATCAGGTCAGAACTGACCGACCAGAACTCACCAACAGTTCGAGCTGAGACCGAGTCTCGGATGTGAGGTCTCAAAATAAAATAGTTCCAATTCGACGACACCTTTAAACCCCCTCTAACTGGCGCTCGCTCACTCTCTCGCTCTCCCGGAGAGAGGGAGAGTGAGTGACAGAGGGAGAGATGTCAAGGAAACTGTCTCTCTCTCTCTCTCTCTCTCACACACTCTCTGAGAGGGAGAGAGAGAGAGAGAGCGTGGGATGTCAAGGAAGCTCTCTTGCGCTCTCTCTCTCACGCTCTGAGAGGGAGGGAGAGAGAGAGTGTATTGTCAAGGTAACTGTCTTCCGCGCGCTCTCTCTCTCACACACACATTTTCAGAGAGGGAGGGAGGGAGGGAGAGAGAGTGAGTGTGCGTGATGTCAGTGCCTCTCTCTCTCTCCTAACACACACACACACACACACTCACTCACTCTATCTCTCCCATTAAAATGTTCTAGAGAGGGATTGAGGAGAAATGGAGAGAGCGAGAGAGACGTTGAATGATCTCTCTCTCTCTCATCCCTATAGAGAGAGGGTGAAGGAGAGAGGGAGAGAGAGAGAGGAAGGTGGGATTGAGACAAGAGTGAGGGAGTGAGAGAGGAAGGGCACAGGTGGATGGAGTGAACGGGACAGAGGGAGAGCAGAGGATTGAGAAAGACAGAACGTGGGAGGGTGGGGGGAGGAGAGAGGGAAGGAGAAAGGAGAGATGGAGAGAAAGAGGCTCCGATCCCTTACTACACAGACGTCTCATTTGGAGAGAGGAATGGAGAGAGGGAGAGAGAGCGGGTAAGAGGGTGAGAGAGAAAGGGAGGGAGGGAGGGAGAGAGAGAGAGAAGGGTTTGAGAGCCGCTGCCTCTCTCTCTCTCTCTCTCTCTCTGGACACACTGCTCATTGGGAGAGAGGGAAGGAGATAGGAGAGAGGAGGAGTGAGAGAGAGAGAGAGAGCTCCGTGCCCTCATTGCACAGACTGCTCGCTGGGAGTGAGAGAACGTGGGAGAGGGAGGGAAGGAGGGAGAGGGAGCAGTCTCTCTGCGGGTGTCTCTCTCTCGCTCGTTGAACGCACTGCTCGTTGGGAGAGAGGGAAGGAGATAGGAGAGAGGAGGAGTGAGAGAGAGAGAGAGAGGCTCCGTGCCTTCATTGCACAGACTGCTCGCTGGGAGTGAGAGAACGTGGGAGAGGGAGGGAGGGAAGGAGGGAGAGGGAGCAGTCTCTCTGCGGGTGTCTCTTTCTCTCTCGTTGAACACACTGCTCGTTGGGAGAGAGGGAAGGAGATAGGAGAGAGGAGGAGGAGTGAGAGAGAGAGAGAGAGAGGCTCCGTGCTCTCATTGCACAGACTGCTCGCTGGGAGTGAGAGAACGTGGGAGAGGGAGGGAGGGAGAGTCAGGGAGCAGTTTCTCTGCGTGTGTGTCTCTCTCTCTCTCTCTCTCTCATTGAACACACTGCTCGTTGGGAGAGAGGGAAGGAGAGAGGAGAGAGGGAGGAGGAGGAGGAGGAGAGCGTCCGCCCTCACTGCACAGACTGCTCGTTGCTGCTGCTCCCAGAATCCTGAGGCTTCATCACGTCGGGAAGTTCGGGCGGGTTTGAGAAAGCGTCAATACGTAACGGCTCGAACTGCTCATCTACAGAGAGAGAGAGGGAGTGTGTGAGAGAGAGAGGGAGTGAGAGTGAGTGAGAGAGCGAGAGTTGATATGTAACGGCTCAAACTGCTCATCTACAGAAAGAGAGAGTGAGAGAGAAAGAGAGAGCGTGAGAGAGAAAGAGTGTGTGTGAGAGAGACGCAGACAGAGGGAGTGTGAGAGGGAGAGAGGGAGTGTGAGAAAGAGATATATATATACACACACACATACAGAGTGTGAGAGAGAGGGAGAGAGAGACTGAGAGAGACACACACAGAGACAGAGGGAGTGTGAGAGGTACACAGAGGAAGTGAGGGGGAACTGCAGCAGAGAGAGAATCATAGCCACTTCCTGTCAGAGAGGATATACACACACAGACAGAGAGAGACACACACGGACAGACAGACAGACACACACGGACAGATAGAGACACACTCACAGACAGAGACACACTCACAGACACACAGACAGAGAGACAGACAGAGAGACACACACACACGGACAGAGAGACCCACACACTCACGGACAGATAGAGACACATTCACAGACAGAGAGACACACTCACAGATAGAGAGAGACACACTCACAGACAGAGAGAGACACACGCAGACAGAGAGAGACACACTCACAGACAGATAGAGACACATTCACAGACAGAGACACACTCACAGATAGAGAGAGACACACTCACAGACAGAGAACACTCACAGATAGAGACACTCTCACAGACTCACAGATAGAGAGAGACACACTCACAGACAGAGAGAGACACACGCAGACAGAGAGACACACAGACAGAGAGAGACAGACACACACACACAGAGACACACAGACAGAAGGAGACACACAGACAAACACAGAGACACACAGAGGGAGACACACAAACACACACACACACACATGCAGAGATACACACAGATAGACACACACACACAGAGACAGACACACCGACAGAGTGTGCAATTGTGAGTGTGCGAGGGTGAATGTGTGCGAGGGTGAGTGTGTGTGAGCTGAGAGGTAGAGAGAGAGAGACAAATGAGAGGGAAATACACACGCACACACACGGGGAGTGTGAGTGGGAGAGGGCGAGTGTGACTTACCCACGGCTTTGAAGGCGAGACCGATGGTGGCTGGAGCCTGGGGTCGCGCTGTCTGACTAGTGAACCCACAATCACCCAGAGACTTATCATCATCCAAAACCTGATCATCCTGAGAGAGAGAGAGTGCGAGAGTGATGAGGAGAGATTGCGAGAGAGACTGAGAGAGAGACAGAGAGAGTGAGTGAGTGAGAGAGAGAGAGACTGAAGTGTGAAAGAGAGCGACTGAGTGGGTTAACACACACGCACACACACACAGCGACTGAGACAGAGCTGACACACACACACACACTGAGACAGGCTGACAGACACCTTAAAAAGCCTCTGATCTTCTGGTTGGCGTTTTAGAATTCCCTCCACGATTTTCTTCAGCTCGTAAACTGTGGTCGATTCTTTGGCGTCTGTAAAAATGGTTGTCTTGTGACGTCTTATCATCAGAAAGACATCCTGAGGGGGAGAGAGAGAGAGAGAGTGTGAGAGAGAGAGAGCGACAGAGAGCGTGTGAGAGAGACTGAGAGAGTGTGTGAGAGAGACAGAGCGTGAGTGAGAGTGTATGTGAGAGAGTGAGAGACACAGAGAGGGAGTGTGAGTGTGTGTGAGAGAGAGTGTTTGAGTGTGAGAAAGAGAAACAGACAGACAGAGAGAGAGAGAGAGACTGAGGGTGTGTGAGTGTGAGACAGAGAGTGTGGGACAGAGAGTGTGAGACTGAAACAGAGTGAGAGACTTAACAACAATAATAATAATAATAATAACCCCGGCATTTGACCCGGCGCCTTATCACGTCTTCGAGACATCTCAAAGCGCTGCACAGGACATTCTGTAAAGTGTAGTGACTGTGGTTTCTGGGTGAAACGCGGCAGCCGATGGCGCCCGGCGACGTCCCCACAAACAGCCGTGGGGTTGAAGTGACCAAATTATTATTGTTTTGAAGGGATTATTACCCCCGAAAAGTGATTCCCCCAATCGCCTGACAAGCGACCGACTGCTGGTAAACAGGTGTGTCTGTGTGTCTGTCTGCGTAGGTGTGTCTGTGCAGTAAGGAAACTCGCCTAAGGTGTCGCCCAGACCTGACCCGCCCGGGAATCGAACCCGGGTCCTCTGGCTCGCGAGGCGAGGGGTCTAACCCCTGAGCTACAGGTGAGCATTGGAGTCACACCTAACGAAAGGTTATTTTTAAGTGAATTATCTCTGTGAGAGAGAGAGAGACAGAGAGAGACAGACAGACAGAGCAAGAGACGGACTGAGAGACTGAAAGAGAAACTGAGAGAAAGAGAGAGAGGGGCAGTGAGGCAGATGTTTTATTATCAATAACTATAACAAACAATAAGGTTTATTATGTGACAATGTTTATTAAATCTTATCCCGTTTCTCTCTTGTGTTTTAACGCAATTAAGTTCTTTTGATTTTAAATTAAATTAAAAATCCATATTATTTTCTCCCCTTTTTTTTCCCTCCACATCCGGAGATCTATTGATTAACAATATTATCGCCTAATAATATGTGGTTCGAGCCGTTCACGTGAGTGAGACACGAATGAAAGGTTTGTAAGTGAATGATTATGATTTTTAAGGTTTTTTTTTTAAACTGTTACCGTCTCTCTGTTTCCCTCCGTTTCTCCCGGAGCCAAAGATTTATTAGTATTATATTTCATTATCAATTTTAATGTCTTTTTGAGGTTATTTTCTCTGTGTCTCCGCTGTGTGTGTCTCTCTCTCTGTCTCTCTCTCTCTGTCTCTCTCCAGATCCAGAGATTGATTATCATTCTATTTCAAGTAAAATTATTAGGATTTAATGTCTTTTTGCTGTGATTTTCTCCCTATTTCTCTCTCTCTCTATATATATATCTTTCTCTCTGTCTCTCACTCTCTATCTCTCTGTCACACTCTCTCTCACACACACTCTCTCTCTGTCACTTTCTCTCTCTCTCTCTCACACTCTCTCACTCTTTCTCTGTCTCTCACACTCTCTCTCTCACACTCTCTCTCTTAGTCTCTGTCACTCTCTCTCTTTCACACTCTCTGTCTCTCTCTCTCTCTCTCATTCTCTCTCTCTCTCTCTCATTCTCTCTCTCTCTCACTCTCTCTCTCTGTCTCTCACACTCTCACATTCTCTCTCAGTCTCTCTCACACTCTCACATTCTCTCTCTCTCTCTCTCTCACTCACTCTCTCTTTCGGGGATTATTGTTATTATTAAATATTGTAACAAACGATGAGGAGAAACTCACCATTTTCTTGGTTTCTGTTGTTACTGATTCTCCTCCCGAGTCCTCCGCAATCCCACAATCCTCCGCCCGAGTCCTCCGCAATCCCACAATCCTCCACTCCCCGCCTCCCAGTCCTCCAACGTCCCACCAGTCCCGGACAGTCCTCCTGTGTCCCACAATCCTCCTCTCTCACCACCGCTCCCCTCTTGCCGTCCGCAAATGCGCCTCTTTGTCTTCCCGGGTCCTCCAGTGTCCCACAATCCACCTCACCGTCAGCCCAGAGCCGCTCTTGCCTTCCCCGCGCCCTCCTCGTTTGTTGTCACTTGAGCCCTCCAACATCCCAAGATGCTCCGCTCGGTCCTCCTGTGTCCCACAATCCCCCGCGGTGCCGCCGTCTCGCTGACAGTTTCCGGCGTGTCTGAGTTTGTGTATTTTTTTGGCGGGGAAACAAGAGAAGAAAATAACACAGAGAAGAAGAGAGAGAAACAGAGAGAAAGAGAGAAGGAGAGAGAGAGAAGGTGAGAGAGAGAGAGAGAAGAAGAGAGTGAAGAAGAGAGAGAAGGTGAGAGAAACAGAAGGTGAGAGAGAAACAGAGGGAGAGAAAGAGATAACAAATAAACAGAGGAGAGAGAGAGAGAGAAACTGACTGTGAGAAACAACAAAAATAAATAAACTGTGTCGTAAGACACAGAGAGAGTGTGTGAGAGAGACTGAGAGAGATATAAGAATCGCACTCCCGGGGGGTGTGACCCGGAGCGCCCGATCACGTCTTCGAGACGTCTCAAAGCGCTTCACGGGGCGCACCGTCAAGTGTAGTGACTGTGCGTGTTTTGTGGGTGAAACGCGGCAGCCGATCGCGCCGCCCGGCGACGTCCCCACAAACAGCCGCCGGGGGTTCAAGTGACCGAAATATTATTATTGTTGTTATGAAGGGATTATTACCCCCGAAAAGTGATCCCCCAATCGATCGCCTGACGAGCGACTGACTGCCGGGGACACAGGCGCGTGGGTGTGTGTGTGTGTGTGTGTGTGGGGGGAGTAAGGAAACTTGCCTAATGTTTTGTCCTGTCCTGTCGGGGAATCGAACCCGGGTCCCCTGGTTTGCGAGGGGAGGGGTCTAACCCCTGAGCTACAGGGGCTGTGGGGTGTGGGGAGGGGTCTAACCCCTGAGCTACAGGGATTGACTTCACGTTTATATATTAGACGTCTCAAACCATTTGATAAGATACACAGTCAAAATATTTTTTAAATATTTCGCAGAATCACAGAATTATACAGCACAGAAGGAGGCCATTCGGCCCATCGTGTATCTGCCGGCTCTTTGAAAGGAGCTGCAAATCAACCCCACTCCCCCGCTCTCCTCACCCCCCCCTCTGTTTCTTTTAACAACTATTTTAAATCAGTGTCCTCGGGTTCCCGACCCACCCACCAGTGGAGATAGTTTCTTCTTGTTCACCCTATCGAATCCCCTCATCATTTTGAAAATTATTGAGTCTTCTCTTAACCTTCTCTGCTCCAAGGAAAATAATCCCAGCTTCTCCAGCCTCTCCTGTAACTTTATTTATTTACACTACATATTATATATTTTAAGTATGTATTTGAGACGTCTCGAAGTTGTGATAAGGCGCTATTATCAAATGCAAGGATTATTATTGTTAATATAAATTATTATTAATGTTAACTGTTTCTCCTCTGCAGGTTTGGCTTGGAGACAGACAGGCAGACAACGATGTCTCGCATGGAGGGCAAGTGGTGATGGATAAACAAAGCGAGACAGTCAGAGAGAGGGAGAGAGAGATAGACAGAGACCGGGAGACAGGCTGAGAGAGAGAGAGAGAGAGAAAGACTGAGAGACAGACAGACAGAGAGAGAGACAGACAGACAGAGAGAGAGACTAACTGACTGCGATGTCTGAGAGTGAGAGCGAGCGGTGACGGAGAGACAGAGCGAGACGCCGAGAGAGAGAGAGTCGATGGGAGATTCCCCTCTCTCCCGCACCCCGCTCCCAGTTCCCGCCTATTTCCGCCAGGCCGACGAGACCTTCTCGCTGCGGAGACGGGGCGGGGCCGGGTTGGGTGGCTCCGGCCTGACCCCCCGGCCCCCTGTCAAGGCCGCCCCCCCCTCCAGCCGGCTGTTCCCGGGGCGGTCGCGAGCCTGGAGCCAGCCCCGCCCCCTGAGCGTCTCGGCTCGAGACGCCCCCTCGCGCTCGCTCAGTGGGGGGCTGTACGACGAGAGTAAATCCGAGCTGTACTTCGAGCAGTGCTTCCTGCGGCTCTGTCGCCTCGGCCAGGGCAGCTTCGGGGAGGTGTTCAAGGTCAGTGCGATCGATAAGCCATTCATAACCATCGCTGATCAGTAACTGATCAATAACTCTGAACTGATCAATACGCCACAACTGATCAATAACTGATCAATACCCCATAACTGATCAATGACCCGTAACTGATCAATATCTGACCGATACCCCGCAACTGATCAATAACTGACCAATACCCTGTAACTGATCAATAACTAATCAATACCCCCACAACTGACCAATAACTGATCAATGACTAATCAATGCCCCATTACTGATCAATAACCCGTAACTAATTCATTATTAACCAATCGATAACAGATCAGTAACCAATAACAGATCAATAACTGATTGATAACCGGTCTGTGTCTGTCTCTCTCTCTCTCACTCACTCATTCACTCTCAGTCTCTCTCTCTGTGTATCTCTCTCACTCTCTCACGTTCTCTCTGTCACTCTCTCAGTCTCTCTCTCAGTCTCTCTCTCTCACATTTTTTCTCTGTGTGTGTCTCTCACTCTCACGGTCTCTCTCAGTCTCTCACTCTCACGTTCTCTCTCTCATGTTCTCTCTCTCTGTCACTCTCTCTCAGTCTCTCTCTCTCTGTCACATTTTCTGTGTGTGTGTGTCTCTCACTCACGTTCTCTCTCACGTTCTCTCTGTCACTCTCTCTCATGTTCTCTCACTCTCTCTCAGTCTCTCTGTCCCTCACATTTTCTCTCTGTCTCTGTGTGTATTTCTCTCTCTCTCTCACTCTCACATTCTCTCAGTCTCTCTCACTCTCACGTTCTCTCTCTCACGATCTCTCTCTCTGTCACTGTCTCTCAGTCTCTCTCACTCTCACGTTCTCTCTCTCTCTCAGGTCCGAAGCCGGGTTGACGGGCGGCTGTACGCAGTCAAGCGGTCGATGGAGCTGTTCCGGGGGGAGCAGGACCGGTGGCAGAAGCTGGAGGAAGCCCGGAAACACGAGGGTCTGGCTCCTCACCACAACCTGGTGGGTTTCGTCAGCGCCTGGGAGGAGCGCGGACGCCTGTACATCCAGACCGAGCTGTGCGAGGGCAGCCTTCAGCAGCGAGTGGAGGAACGAGGCACGCTGGGCGAGGGAGAGGTGGGTAGGGCTTCCTTGAAGAGTCTCAGTGAGAGAGAGAGGAGAGACTGAGAGAGACAGAGAGAGAGTGGGTGAGAGAGTGAGAGAGACAGAGGGAGAGAGAGGGAGTGAGAGGGGGTGAGAGAGGGTGAGAGAGACAGAGAGAGAGAGAGTGAGAGAGAAGGAGTGAGAGAGACTGAGAGAGAGTGAGAGAGACAGAGAGTCTGAGAGACAGAGAGAGTGAGAGAGACAGAGAGAGAGGGAGTGAGAGAGGGAGTGTGAGAGAGGGGGTGTGAGAGAGACAGAGAGAGTGAGAGAGACAGAGAGAGTGAGAGAGACAGTGAGAGAGACAGAGAGAGGGTGAGAGAGCAGAGAGAGAGTGAGAGAGATAGACAGAGAGAGTGAGAGAGACTGTGAAAGAGCCTGAGACATCTCGAAGGCTGTGTCAGATGCAAGTACTACTACTAATAATTATTAATTATGATTAATTATTATTAATGCATTGATGATAAAGGTTTGGGACGTCATCACTGACCTGCTCCCTGCCCTCAAGCATCTACACGACAGAGGGGTGGCCCATATGGACGTGAAGCCCGCCAATGTCTTCCTCTCCCACGCTGGCGTGTGCAAGCTGGGCGATTTTGGCCTGCTGCTGGACACGAGGGAGAGGGTGAGGGAGAGGGCCACGGAGGGAGAGAGCGAGAGAGGGAGTCGGGGAGAGCGAGCCGAGCTGAGCGAGGCCCAGGAGGGAGATCCCAGATACATGGCCCCAGAACTGCTGTCCGGAGTGTATTCCCGGGCGGCTGATGTGTTCAGGTCAGAGGCAGAGAGAGCGAGAGAGAGCGAAAGTGTGTGAGAGTGTGTGTGTGAGAGAGAGAGAGAGTGTGAGAGAGAGCAAGAAAGTGTGTGAGAGTGAGAGAAGGGAAGAGAGAAAGTGGGAAATCAGTGTTAAATCCTATATTTTAGCACAAGCACAGTCGCACTCACACAGATGTACTCTCACACACACACACTCACACACAGACACACACTCACACACAGAAACACAGACACACACACAGACACTCACACACAGACACACATACACACACTCACACACAGAAACACTCACACACACAGACACACTCGCACACATGCGCCTGTATCCCCAGCAGTCAAGCGATTGGGGGATCACTTTCCAGGGGTAATAATCCCTTCAAAACAATAATAATAATATTAATTTGGTCGCTTCAACCCCCGACTGTTTGTGGGGACGTCGCTTGGGGCGATCGGCTGCCGGGTTTGGCCCCCAAAACACACACAGTCACTACACTCGACGGCGTGTGCCGTGAAGCGCTTTGAGACGTCTCGAAGACGCGATCGGGGGCTCCGGGTCACAGCCCCGGGGGTTATCGTTATTATTATTAATATTAAATCCTCTCACAGTTTGGGAATGTCTATTCTGGAGATTTGCAGTAATCTGGAGTTGCCGAGGAGCGGAGACGGGTGGCAGAGACTCCGACAAGGCTACCTGCCCCTAGAGTTTGTGTCAGGTTAGTGTGACACACACGCACACTCACACACGCAGACACGGACACACACAAACTCACAGACACTCACACACGGACACACACACAGACTCGCACACGGACACACACAAACTCACAGACACTCACACACGGACACTCACACACGGACACTCACACACTGACATTCACACACAGACACTCACACACTCACCCACAGACACACACACATACTCACACACATTTACACATACAAACCACTCACCCACACATTATCGCACGCTCAGTCGCTCTCTCTGCCTCAGTCTCTCACTCTCAGGTTCTCCCTCAGTCGCTCTCTCCCTGTCTCGCGCTCTCTCAGTCTCTCTCTCAGTCTCTCTCTCTCTCAGTCTCTCCTTCTCTCTCTCAGTCTCTCTCTCTCTCAGTCTCTCCCTCTCTCTCTCACTCTCTTCCTCTCTCTCTCTCTCTCTCTCTCTCAGTCTCTCTCTCTCTCTCTCTCTCTCTCTCTCTCTCAGGTCTCTCCCCCTCACTCCTCTCTATATTACGGCTGATGTTGGAGCCTGATCCGAGGAGACGGGCGAGTGTGGATTTACTGCTGTCTCTGCCATGTGTCCGTCGGGTTCGTCTCTACAGACGGTTACGTCTGCTCGTGAGAGAGGGTCTGACTCAGATCATCAGGGTGTTCCAGGTACTAAACCCATCTCCTTCCCCCTGGCTCAGTCGCTGTGTGTGTGTGTGTGTGTCAGTCTGGCTCAGTCGCTGTGTGTGTGTCAGTCTGGCTCAGTCACTCTGTGTGTGTGTGGATGCATGCAAGTCAGCCTGGCTCAGTCGCTGTGTGTGTGTGCGCGAGTGTCAACCTGGCTCAGTCTCTCTCTCTCTCTCCGCAGCTCCTTCTCTCTCTCCTGTGGGTGGTGTGGCACACACTGACGGGTGGCTTCCTGTCTGCTGCCCCCTCCCCGGATGTACCCCCGGCCTCTCCCTCCCCCTCGAGCCTCCGAGACCCTCACAGCCCCCTGGGCTGGGGCTCAGGCCAGGGCCATCGCTTCTCAGATGATGTCTTTCCCTCCTGCTCCCAGCCCCAGCTCCCTGAGCAAAGCACAGACACACAGGATTACAGGTCATTGTGAGAGAGACTGTCTGTCTGTCTTTCTGTCTGTCTGTCTGTCTGTCTGTCTGTGTGTCTGTCTGTCTGTCTGTCTGTCTGTCTGTGTGTGTGTGTGTGTGTCTGTCTCTGTGTGTGTGTCTCTCTCTCTGTGTCTCTGTCACTATCTGGGTTGCTCCATGTGTGTGTGTGGCTCTCTCTCTGTGAGTGTGTCTCTGTGTGGGTGGGTGTCTCTCTGTGTCTCTCTCTGTTGGTGTGTGTGTATGTCTCTCTGATTCTGTGTGTGTGTCTGTATGTCTTTATCTTTGTCTATCTGTCTCTCACACACTGTGTGTGTGTCTCTCTCTCTCTCTCTGTGTACGTGTGTCTCTGTGTGGGTGTGTATCTCTATCTATGTGTCTCTCTGTGTCTCTCTCTGTTGGTGTGTGTGTGTGTCTGTGTATGTCTCTATCTATGTCTGTCCGTCTCTCACACACTCTCTCTGTCTGTCTGTGTGTATGTGTCTCTCTCAGTCGCTCCCTGTCTCAGTCTCTCTCTCTCTCTCTTTCTTTCTCAGGACTCTCTATTCCCCCGAAACAATGTTAAGGCCACGGATGGGAAGCACATCAACTCCTCGTAATCTCTCGTCAGATTCATTGCTCAATAGCCGAAGGTACCACATCCTCTCTCTCTCTCTGTCTCTCCCCCTCTCTCTCTTCCAGTCTTTCTCTCTCTCTATCTCTCTCTCTCTCTCTCTCAGTCTCTCTCACTCTCTTTGTCTCTTTCTCTTAGTCTCTGTCTCTCTTTCAATCTCTCTCTCTCTCTCTCAGTCTCTCTCTGTCTCTCTCAGTCTCTCTCTCTCTCTCACTCACAGGTCGCCTAGAGACAGTCCCAACCTCAGTTACATCAGCTCGGAGTCTCCCTGTATACGCTGTGAGTGTGACGGTGAGGAATCCTCACTCACTCTCCATGAGGAGACGGAAGTTACTAGAGCTGTCTTTGAGCCCAAAAATTTACTGAGTTTATTTGAGGAATCCATCGATCTTAAATGATCCCAGAACACACAGTGTAGAGGGAGCTTTACTGTGTCTCTAATCCTGACCTGGGAGTGTGGACGCACAGTGTAGAGGGAGCTTTGCTGTATCTCTAACCCTGACCTGGGAGTGTGGACCGACGAACAGTCTTTGAGTCGGTGACTGGGAGTTGGGTCAAACAATATAATATTTTATGTATTTTCTGTAAATATTTCATGAATTTTCTGTATTTTAAGACGCTATTAAATCTTTTCCCTTTGCTGCTCATCTTGTGCAGTCCTGGAGCTCAGGGGTTAAAGCCCTCACCTCGCAAGCGAGAGGACCCGGGGTTCGATTCCCGGGTGGGATAGGTCAGGGCAAAACCTTAGCCAAGCCTCTGTTTACCTCGCAATAAGTAGGAACCGACTAAGTCTCTGTTAGTCTGTGATTATGTCTCTCTCTCTTTCTTAAGTCTTTGTATGTGTGTGTGTGTCTCTCTTAAGTCTGTGTGTGTGTGTCTCTCTTAAGTCTGCGTGTCTCTTAATTCTCTGTCTCTCTCTTACGCTCTCTCTCTCTTACGCTCTCCCTTTCTGTCACTCTCTCTCTCTGTCACACTCTCTGTCACGCTCTCTCTCTGTGATGCTCTATCTCTGTCACTCTCTGTCACGCTCTATCTCTGTCACTCTCTGCCACGCTCTCTCTCTGCCCCCCCCCCCTCTCTCTCTGTCTGTCTCTGGCTCTTTTTCTGCTTCTGTCTCACACTCCCCTCTCTCTCTTTCTTTGTCGCTCAGTCTCTTTCTGTCTGTTCCTCTCTCTCTCTCTCTCTCTGGCACCACATTCACTCTGGGGGATCGATTTCCGGGGGTAATAATCCCACCATAATAATAATAATAATAATAATTTAGTCGCTTCAACCCACGACTGTTTGTGGGGGCGCAATTGGCTATTGCGGTTGGCCGGCAAAAACACACAGTCACTACACTTTGACAGTGTGTCTCGATTACTGAGTGTTAAGGAGGGGGAAGAACTACAACTCCCGGCAGCCTCGGCGGGTGCGCCTGCGCGCTGATGCCAGTCCGGTCGTGTGCCTCACTTCCGGAAAGCGACCGGAAGCAGTATGGCGGCACCCGGCCACGAGCGGGAAGTTCCACAGCGGGTCCCAACCGCCACCATGGCGGCTCCGGAGGCTCTGAGCCGCGAGGAGCTGGTGCAGCGGGTCCGGGAGCTGGAGCGGGAGGTGGAGAGGCTCCGCGGTGGGGCTCAGTGTCCCCCTGGTGGAGATGGGCCGTGTCCTCCTGGTGGAGCTGGTCTCCAGGGTCCCCCTGGTGGAGCTGGTCTCCAGTGTCCCCCTGGTGGAGATGGTCTCCAGTGTCCCCCTGGTGGAGATGGTCTCCAGTGTCCTCCTGGTGGAGCTGGGCTGCTGTGTCCTCCTGATGGAGCTGGGCTCCAGTGTCCTCCTGGTGGAGCTGGGCTCCAGTGTCCCCCTGGTGGAGCTGGGCTGTGTCCCCCTGGTGCAGCTCGGCCCCAGCGCAGAGGGAAGTCTCGCCAGCGCCGGCCCTTTGACTTCTCTGCCCACGGCCGGAGACACGTGGCCCTGAGGCTGTGTTACCTGGGCTGGGAGTATCAGGGGTTCGCGGCCCAGGACAACACCAGCAACACCGTGGAGGACAAGCTGTTCGAGGCCCTGAGCAAGACCCGGCTCGTGGAGAACAGGCACTCGGCCTCTTACCATCGCAGCGGCCGCACCGACAAGGGAGTCAGCGCCTTCGGGCAGGTCAGAGCGAGGGAGAGGGGGAGCGCGCGAGTGGGGAAGTGGGGGGAGAGAGAGAGAGTGAGTGAGTGGGGAGAGAGAGTGAGTGAGGAGAGAGAGAGAGTGAGTGTGGGGAGATAGAGAGAGAGAGTGGGGAGAGAGAGTGAGTGAGTGGGGAGAGAGAGTGAGTGAGTGAATGAGGAGAGAGAGAGTGTGGGGAGATAGAGAGTGGGGAGAGTGAGTGGGGAGAGAGAGAGTGAGTGGGGAGAGAGAGAGAAAGTGTGTGTGGGACGGGGAAAGAGTGAGAGTGTGTGCGGAGAGAGAGAATGGGTTAAGAGCGAGAGAGTGGGTTGGGAAGTGGGGAGAGAGAGAGATCACTCTATTTGTCATTCGGTTTTTGTGTGTGTGTGTGTGTCTGTCACTTAGTCTCTCTCTGTGTTGTCTCTGTGTCTCTCTGTCATCCAGTCTCTCACTGTCTCTCACGCTCTCTCTCTCTCTCTCTCTCTCTCCCTCTGTCGTTCACACTCTCGATCTCTCGGTGTCACACTCTTTCTCTGTCACTCAGTCTCTCGCTATCTCCTGACTGTCAGTCAGTCTGTTTCTTTCTCTCTCTACGTCTCTGTCTCACACTCTCTCTCTCATTCTGTTTCATTCAGACACACTCGCTCTCTATTTCTCTCCGTCTCACATTATTTGACTCTGTCTGTCACTCAATTCCCCTCTCACACGCTCTCTCTCTCTCTCTCTCTCTCTTCTCACTCAATTCCCCTCTCACACTCTGTCTCTCTCTCTCTTCTCACACACTCTCTCTTTCTCTCTTTCAGGTAATCTCCCTAGATCTGCGTTCGAACCTCTCTCGGGGACTGGGGGTGAAACCCAGCAACAGAGACACCGACAGAGACACAGACAGAATCAGAGACACAGACGGAGTCATAGACACAGTCATAGAATCAGACAGAGTGAGAGACACCGAGGCAAACCCAGACGAAGCCGCGGAACAGGACGAAATCCGCTACGTCCACATCCTAAACCGGGTCCTTCCCCCCGACATCCGGGTCCTGGCCTGGGCCCCCGTCCGCCCCGAGTTCAGCGCCCGCTTTAGCTGCCTGCACCGCACCTACCGCTACCTGTTCCCCCGAGCCGGGCTGGACGTGGGGGCCATGGGCCGGGCGGCCGAGGGCTACAGGGGGACGCACGACTTCCGGAACCTCTGCAAGATGGACGTGGCCAACGGGGTGGTCAACTTCGTCCGCACGGTGCTGGCCTCGGAGGTCAGGCCGGCCAACAGCGACGGCAACAGCCTGGGCAGCGGGTACCAGCTGTGGGAGTTCCGGGTGCGAGGCCAGGCTTTCCTGTACCACCAGGTGCGCTGCATGATGGCGGTGCTGCTGCTGGTCGGTCGGGGCCTCGAGACGCCTCAGGTCGTCGAGCGCTTGTTAGACGTGGAGACCAACCCGGAGAAACCGCAGTACAGGTGAGGGGGCCCCAGCGCGGAGCTGTGTCCCCACGGCGGAGCTGTGTTAGGCTGTGTCCCCACGGCAGAGCTGTATTAGGTTGTGTCCCCACAGTTGAGCTGTGTCCCTGCGGCGGAGCTGTGTTAGATTGTGTCCCCACTCTCTCACACTCCCTCGCCCGCAGTATGGCTGTAGATTACACCCCCCTCTTAGACTCTCTCTCACACTCTCACTCCCTCTTTCACACTCTCACTCTCTCTCTCACACTCTCACACTCTCTCCCTCTCTCCCTCGCCCGCAGTATGGCTGTAGATTACCCCCTGATCCTGGATGAGTGTGCGTACAGTGAGAGAGACGTGCGCTGGGTGGCTGACAGTCAGGCTCTCTCCCTGACGGTCACAGAGCTACAGAGGATGTGGACGTGTTTCGTTACCAAGTCACAGCTCGTGTTCCGCATGTTACAGCGCCTGAACCAGACTGTGAGACAGGAGAGAGCAGGTACAGTCGGTGGCTGTCTGTGTGTGTGTGTTTCTGTGTGTGTGTGTGTGTGTTTCTGTGCGTGTCTGTCTGCGTGTGTGTGTGTCTCTTGTGTCTGTGTGTGTCTCACTGTGTATATATGTGGCTCAGTGTGTGTGTGTGACTCAGTGTGTGTGTGTATCTCTCAGTCTCTCTCACTCGGTCTCTCAATGTATGTCAGTGTGTGTGTGGGTCTGTCTGTGTCTGTGTGTGAGACTCAGTGTGTGTGTCTGTGTGTTTGTTTGTCTGTGTGTGGGTATCTCTCAGCCTCTCTCACTCAGTCTCTTAGTGTGTGGTGTGTGTCTGTGTGTGACTCAAGGTGTGTGTGTTTGCTTGTCTGTGTGTGTGGGTATCTCTCAGTCTCTCTCTCACTCTCTCTCTCTCTCTCTCTCTCTGTTACAGACGATGGTGATGGTGATGATGAAGAGAAGCCCCTTCCCTGGTCCCTCGCTCTCCCCTCTCTCTCTGCTCAGGCCTCAGGCCTGACCCAGGGCGTCCAGTCGCGAAGCTACAAGCGCCTGATGGATCGTCCACGCTGCGAGGGCCTGGAGTCGCGGATCAGTCACTACACCAAGCGAGGCCGCATCAGCCTGAGTGTCCCCCTCGCGGAGCTGAAATCGTGTCCGCCTCGCGGAGATAGAACTATGTCCCCCTGATGGAGCTGAAATCATGTCCCCCCCTCGCGGAGATAGAATTGTGTCCCCCTTGTGGAGCTGGAGTTTGTGTCCTCCTGGTGCAGCTGGAGTTTGTGTCCCCCTCGCGGAGCTGGAGTTAGTGGAGCTGGAGATAGTGTCCCCTCGTGGAGCTGATGTTAGTGTCCTCCTGATGGAGGCGCAGCGACTCTGAGCGAGGGAGCATGGTGGAGCGAAGGAGAGAGGGAACGAGGCGGAGAGAAGGTAGGAGAGAGGCGTAGTGACTGCGCGAGAGAGGGGGGGGAGAGGGCGAGGTGTAGTGACTGCGAGAGAGAGAGTGATGTAGTGACTGCGAGCGAGAATGAGAGAGGTGTAGTGACAGAGAGCGAGCGAGAGAGAGCGGTGTAGTGACTGTGTGCGAGCGTGAGAGAGAGAGGGATGGAGGAAGAAAGAGAGGTGTAGTGACTGTGCAGAGAGGGGGAGGGAGCGACGCAAACTCAACCCCCACACCCCACAACCCCCTCTCTAACCCCCAATAACTCCACGAAAAAGGGGGAACATTAAAGCAGAAACTTTTTTTTGTTGTATTCGCGTCCAACACTCCTCCGTTTACCCGCTGTCTCCTTCCCTCCTTCCCCCACTCCCCCCCTCCTCCCTCACCCCCCACTCCCCCCCCCTCCCCCTCCTCCTCGCCAGCAGCTCCCGGGCCTCCCGCGGCCCCTCGAAGTAGAAGGCCGCCCAGAACTCGGCGTCACTGACCGGCACCCAGACCAGCCTGGAGCCCGGGGTGACCCCCACCTCCCCCTCCCCCCCCCCCCCCCCCTCCCCCTCCTCCCGGGGGAACAGCCCCAAAACGGCCTCGTCCTGGGGGTCCAGGTCCAGCAGCGGCGGGCGGTGGGAGCTGCACAGGCCCCAGTCGCTCAGGCCCCGTCCCCCCATCCCCCACCCCCTGACTCCGCGCCCCCCGACCCCGACCCTCTCCCCCCGGAAATGCTCCACCACCCACAGCGAGGTGTCCAGCACCCGGTCCACCGAGGTCCGGCTCAGGGGCTGAGGCCTGGGGCTGGATTTCTCATCCCCCCCCGGCCCGGTGGGGGTGGGGGTGGGAGTGGGGGTGGCCTGGGCCTCGCTGGGGGCCGAGGCCAGGGTCAGGGTCAGGGTCCGGGGCGACGAGTCGCCGTCTGTGGCCCGGGGCGAGCCGGGCACCGCGGCCTGGGAGAGGGGGGTCTCGGACCGGGGCGGGGTCTCGGGCCTCGGGCCCCGGGGCTCGGTTAGAGAGAGGGTCGGGGCGCTGAGGTGGGGCCCGGGTGGGGGCGAGGCCGGGGCCCAGGCCCGGGTCGGGGGGCGCCTGTGCTCCACGATGGTGGTCAGGGTGAGGTGGAGGGAGACGGGTGAGGGCCGTGGGGGGGACATCAGCTCCACCACCGAGGTCTTCTGGACGCGCAACAGTGAACCAGAGGCCCGGGCCGGGCCCCCGCGGGTCTCCCGGGGCCAAGGGGTGGTGGGGGTCCCGGCCCCGGTCCTGTCCGGCCCCGGGAGGGGCTCAGACCTGTGGGCGGAGGCGTCTGCAGACGAGAGAGAGAGAAGGTGTTAGTGACTGAGAAAGAGAGAGAGAAGGTGTTAGTGACTGAGAGAGAGAGAAGGTATTAGTGACTGTGTGAGAGAGAGAGAGAGAGAGATTTAGTGACAGAGAGAGAGAGAGAGAGAGAGATGGTGTTGGAGAATGGAGGGAGAGAGAAAGCAGGTGTTGGGGAAGGGAGGGAGAGATAGAGAGAAGGTGTTAGTGACTGTGAGAGAGAGTATGAGAGGGAAGAGAGAGAGAAGGAGAGAGAGAGAGTGGGGGGGGCTTACCTTGTTCATGCCCCCTGTGTGTGGGCAGCAACTGGTTGGTGACGGAGTCAGGGGGGTATGGAGGGAGGAGGGAGAGTGAGGGAGAGAGAGGGGGGGATCGAGGGAGGGGAGAGAGAGGGGGGGAAGGAGGGAGGGGAGAGGGAGAGAGGGGGGGTGATGGACGAAAGCTAGCGGGAGAAGGAGGGAGGGGAGACTGGGAAGGAGGGAGGGGAGAGAGAGGAGGGGAAGGAGGGAGGGGAGAGGGAGAGGGCGAGAGACCCTGTATCGTTAGCTCGGAGCGAGAGAGACAGTAATACTCCAGGAGCTGGTAGCCAGCCCACTGCTCCCCCAGCCGGGGGTCCTCATTACGGGCCCCCAGGGGGGTCCCAGAGCCCAGGCTCTCGTCGTCGGGCTCCTGGGAGGAGAGAGGGAATGTGTAAGAGAGCGTGAGAGAGAGAGAGAGACTGTACACGTTAGTGTATGTGTGTGGGTCTCTGTGTGTATGTGTGTGTCTGTATCTCTGATTCTGTATGTGTGTGTGTATCTGACTGTGTATGTGTGTGTATCTCTTGTGTGATCTTGACTGTGTGTGTATATCTGACTGTGGGTGTGTATCTGATTGTATATGTGTGTATCTCTGTATGTGTGTGTGTATCTCTGTGTATGTGTGTGTGTATCTGACTGTGTGGGTGTGTATCTCTGACTGTGTATGTGTGTGTGTATCTGATTGTGTGTATATGTGTGTGTGTATCTCTGACTGTGTGTGTGTATCTCTGAATATGTGTGTATATGTGTGTGTATCTGACTATATATATATGTGTGTGTGTGTGTGTGTATCTCTGTATGTGTGCATGTATCTGTGTGTGTGTATCTGACTGTGTGTGTGTGACTGTGTGTGTACTTACGTTCCCACACTGTGTGCAGCAGAAGGCAGAGGATGAGGAGAATTTGGAAACTGGTGTCACATCTCTCTTAGTCAGATCTGACTTACAGTCTCCCTGTCCCATCCTATCTGTGCAAGTAACAGGTTAGAGCTTTACTGTGTCCCTAACCCTGACCTGGGAGTGTGGACACAGTGTAGAGGAGCTTTACTGTGTCCCTCACCCAGACCCTGGGGAGTGTGGACGGACGCACAGTGTCGAGGGAGCGTTACTGTGTCCCTAACCCTGACCTGGGAGTGTGGACACACAGTGTAGAGGAGCTTTACTGTGTCTGTAACCCTGACCCTGGGGAGTGTGGACGGACGCACCGTGTAGATGAGCTTTAATCTTATGCACCTGAAATATTGGAGCCTGTGAGGTGATCTGAGTCCAGGCATTATGACCGTCCAGGAGGAATGATCGATTAGAGGCAATCGCTTAAGTTTGTCGAACCCAGATTCCCTCACACGCAAACTCTCCCTCCCAGAAATGGTCGTGAGAGAGAGAGAGAGAGTGAGTGAGGGGGAGAGAGAGAGAGAGATGGGGTGGGGAGGGAGAGGGAGGGAGAAAGAGACTCTTTAAATCTGAACAAGTCACAGAAGCAATACTGTGTAGAGAGAAAGAGAGAGAGAGGGTTAATGAGCTCTTAATAATAATTATAATAATAATAATCCTTGCGTTTGATACAGCGCCTTAACATGTCGTTGAGTCGCTGTGCGTGTGTGTGTGTCTGTGTATGTGGGGAGTAAGGAAACTTGCCTTAAGGTTTCGCCCTGACCTGACCCACCCGGGAATCGAACCCGGGTCCTCTGGCTCGCGAGGCGAGGGGTCTAACCCCTGAGCTACAGGGGCTGTGGGGTGCGAGGGGAGGGGTCTAACCCCTGAGCTACAGGGGCTGTGGGGTGTGAGGGTGAGGAGGGGTCTAACCCCTGAGCTACAGGGGCTGTGGGGTGAGGAGGGGTCTAACCCCTGAGCTACAGGGGCTGTGGGGTGTGAGGAGGGGTCTAACCCCCTGAGCTACAGGGGCTGTGGGGTGTGAGGAGGGGTCTAACCCCTGAGCTACAGGGGCTGTGGGGTGTGAGGAGGGGTCTAACCCCCTGAGCTACAGGGGCTGTGGGGTGTGAGGAGGGGTCTAACCCCTGAGCTACAGGGGCTGTGGGGTGTGAGGGGTCTAACCCCTGAGCTACAGGGGCTGTGGGGTGTGAGGAGGGGTCTAACCCCTGAGCTACAGGGACTCCACAGATCAACAGATTAATTCACATACCTGTTGATTAGGACCTGAATTCCCCAAACTCTCTCCTGTGGGAGTGAGGAGTGGGAGTGTTTGTGCGAGAGAGGGAGAGGAGAGAGAGAGAGATATCCTCATGACGATATGATTGCAGTCTTTGTGACAAAGTATTATGAGGTTGTGTCTCTAACCCCGACCTGGGAGTGTGGGCGCACAGTGTAGAGGAGCGTTACTGTGTCTGTAACCCTGACCTGGGAGTGTGGGCGCACAGTGTAGAGGAGCGTTACTGTGTCTGTAACCCTGACCTGGGAGTGTGGGCGCACAGTGTGGAGGAGCGTTACTGTATCTCTAACCCTGACCTGGGAGTGTGGACGCACAGTGTAGAGGAGCGTTACTGTGTCTCTAACCCTGACCTGGGAGTGTGGACACACAGTGTAGAGGAGCTTTACTGTGTCTCTAACCCTGACCTGGGAGTGTGGACGCACAGTGTAGAGGAGTGTTACTGTGTCTCTAACCCTGACCTGGGAGTGTGGACGGACGCACAGTGCAGACAGTGGCTTTATTTGACGCTCATGAGTTAAAAAGATTTTTTTACCTGTTCAAAAGAGGACAGAAATGACGTTGGGAGAGAGAGAGAGAGAGACTGAAATTGAGGTGGAGGGACACGCTGTCGGGTGTAGTGACTGTGCACTTTGCGGGCGGAACGCGGCAGCCGATCGCGCCCGGCGACGTCCCCACAAACAGTCGGGGGCTGAAGCGACCGAATTATTATTGTTTTGAAGGGATTGTCGCCCCCGGAAAGTGATCCCCAAATCGCCTGACAAGCGACTGACTGCCGGGGACACAGGCGCGTGTGTGTGTGTGTGTCTGTGTATGTGTGCATCTGTCTGTCTGTGTGGGTATGTCTGTGAGTGTGTGTGTGTGTCTGTGGGGAGTAAGGAAACTTCCCTAAGGTTTCGCCCCGACCTGATCCGCCCGGGAATCGAACCCGGGTCCTCTGGCTCGCGAGGCGAGGGAGGGGTCTAACCCCTAACCTGCAGGAATAGGAGGAGGCCATTCAGCCCCTCAAGCCTGTTCAGCCGTTCTGTTGAGGTCGAGTTTGAGGGGCGCAAATCGTCGTGATTGGTGTAGATTGAATTTGGTCGGGAATAGCGCTTCACAGGACACACCGTCAAGTGTAGTGACTGTGCGTTTTGCAAGCGAAATCCGGCAACCAATTGCGCCCAGCGACGTCCCCACAAACAGCCGTGGATTGAGTTGAGTGACCAATTTATTATGATTTTTTTTGAGGGATTATTACCTGGGAGAGATTCGAACCTCTTACACTCCTCCCCTCCCTCCCTTCCTCGCTCCCTCTCTCCGAGATAAGGAACGAGAGAGGGGTGGATGGAGATAAGCGAGGAA